GAAAACGTTATTGAATATGTCAGTGCTGTTGTAATGAAATGCGTTCAATATTGTATAACTGTATTAATTCAACAGCGAACCTAAAAATTTTATAGCCACTTTTGAAACAGCTGTATCTTTGCTTTGGAAACTGTTATTGACCACATTAAAGCTGTAATGATATGCTTCTTCTAGAAAAATATTTAAAAATGTAGGAAACAGCATATTTTAAAATGAAATGGAGATCTTCTTTAAAGGGTAAAAACTCATTCAATTTTATATCTTACAGGGTTTATACTGAGTTCAATGTTGTATAACTGTATTAATTCAGCTGTGAAACTAAAAATTTACAGTCACTTTTGAAAGAAATGTATCCTTGTTCTGGAGTGTGTTACTGAATATATTAAAGCTGTAATGAAATGCTTCTTCTAATCATGTGGTTATTAAATTTAAATTTTTTTTTAAAAAGTCACAATTCTTCAAAGCATAAAAATTTGCCCCTTAATAATTAGTAGATGTGAAAAACATTACCATTGAAATCTACCTGATGACTTTATATCCATGCTCAGATGCCAAGGATCTCAGAAAGTAACCAACTGTGACTAGTAATAATCAGATATATAGAAATTAGAAACGCATGTGCAAACATCTTAGCGTTATTGCATTAAAACAAATTTTTCTGTATGAAACTGTGTATTTTAATAATGAAATGGAGACGGTTTTTTTAAAGTTTAAAACCTCATTTAATTTTATGTCTTATAGGGTTTATACTGAATACAATATTGTATAGCCATATTAATTCAACTGCAAAGCTAAAAATTTCAGCCAATTTTGAAAGAGATGCATCTTAGCTCTGGAAATTGTTATTGAATATGTTAATGCTGTTGTAATGAAATGCTTCTTCTAATTATGTGGTTATTAAATAAATAATTTAAAAGAATAAATTAAAAAATACATAAATGTTTTTTAAAAATATGTTCAACATAATGCATATGATAACTCAAGAACAATTCCACAATGTATAAATAATTAAAAATATGATGTTGTCCAAGATTATTATATATAATTTGTGTGAAGAAGCATCAACTGGATCCTTACCTCAAACTTGCTGACTCTCTGCTGTTAAGAAGCAGTGAACTCTTGACCCCAGAGACATTAAATTAGATACCTCCTCCTCCTCTTACCTCCTTTTCAGGCTATTGAAAGCTTTGTAGTCAGTCAAGTCTTTCTTGTCGGTCATGGTGATCCTGTTGTTACTAATCCTAGCAAAGGCATAGATCAGGTGAGTACACAGGCAGGGGTCAATGTCATCAGGTGTCATACTCCCTAGGTCTGGCCTATGCTGGGCCCAGTTGTTGAAGTAGCACATCAGCTGGTAGGCACAACCTATGGAAAAGAAGCAGTAACAATGGTTTGATGTACATGCCACTGGCCTGTGCTCATAGTTTGGCCATGCCTCCTCCCCCTCCTGTGCCTCAGATGCCTGATCTCTGGGTAGAGGTGTGATTGGTGTGAGCACTCTCACAGATGAACCCAGAGATTCCAACTTAGGGGCCAGTCACTGATGTAGACTTGGTTCTGTTCAATTTGGACAGATTCATTTTGAGAGCCTAACCTTAGGAGGCTAATAACAGATGACAGGTAGTCCTGTAAAGCTTAGCAGCTGTGAGTTTGTAACTCTCAAGTGGTCACACTATATGGAAGAGCAGTGATGCCAGATCTGAAACACTCCACTCTCCACAAAGCAGACACATCTAGTTTTCTAGTATAGTTTATCTTGATAAGATCTTTCCAAAAAGAAATATTGGAATATAACTTAATAATCACATTTATTAAGCAGACAGTTGCATTGAGTAATGAATGGGGATTTGAGGCTTACAGAAGGAAAAGATATCAATAATAAAACATGGAAGCAATGACTTACCCAAATGAGCATTCAGCAGAAGGCCCAGACCTAGAGAAAGAGAACACACATTTGTTCTGAACCAATTGCCCCTTAGGCTTTAACTCTGATACCTTATGGGCCACTCTGCTTGCTATAGATTGCTACAGCTCAAGTAAAAAATTTCAGATATGCCAAGGAGTGGTCTTTCATTGAGCACACCATCTATGTTTCTTTTACTGGTCAAAATGGTTTTCTACCTTCTATGTCATAATTAAAGTACCGTCGGATATAAAGGCTACCCAAGCCAAACTGACTCGACTTAGCGACCACATATTCAGATGTGCCTCACCTCCCAGAGATGGAACGAGCCCAGTTTTTCAACAGATAAGACATTCTCTAAAACAGAAAATTAGATTGCTTCTGGAGCCTTGGGATTTATTAGGAAGACTCTTGTAAAGTCCTTGCCAGAGAAACGATATAAGATTCCAGATGCCTCTACTTGGCTTAAACACAATACTTTCTAGCTGTTGTAGTTTTGAGACAAGGTCTCACTATGCCGTACAGGTTGGTCTTGATCTGGATAACCTTCTACCTTTGCATATTGAATGTTGGAATTACAGCCTTGAACAACCATCAGGCTTTCATATCATTTCTACTGATTGTTTTACAGATTGAGTTTGATGTTTCATTTCAAAAATGTTCTGAAGGTTGAGGGCAGGAGAAATGGCTCAGTACTGGCTGCTCCTGAGGAGGACCTGGGTTTGACTCCCAACACCCACATGACAGCTAACAACCATCTATAATTCCAGTTCCAGGGGATCTGACACCCTCTTCTGACCACTCCAGGCATTGCATGACACGGGTGCACTTACATATAGGCAATACACTCATACATGTACAATTTTTAAAAAGTTTTGAAGGTTAGCAAAGTTTGTAAAGCACAGGTTTAGAGTAACTAACAAGTTGAGGTTCCCTGAAAAATATACAGAGTCGCCTTCTATAAATGACTGAATTTCTGTCATTATCAACTTGGGAAGACAATAAACGTGAAATAAGTAATTCTGAACAACTACTTATATAGCTCTGTCTCAATCCCACTAATATTCATCCTGGAGAAATCTATTTCCCAGGCATAAACAAGTAAATAAATATAACATCAAGTTAAAGTATGTGGTGCAAGGTGAGTGGGAAAAATGAATAGCTAAACAAAATCAGAAGACGCAAGACAAGCATAGCAAGAGAATGAGTGCTTCTTTTGGGAGCATTCACGTGGCATCAGCCAAGCCAGAAATGTGGCTGTAGCCATTGAGGTTAAGAGATCAAGAGAAAAACACATTTCTATGATGAAAACAATTTGCAATGTTAACAGAATGGAAAAGCAGAGAGGTGTAGTGTGATGACTGCTTCATGGTTGTCAGATGAGGAAAGGAAAAGAAACCAGGTAAGATGAAGGCTGTGTCTCTGATTACAAACTCACCTGTGAGAAGAATGAGCTTGGACATAGTTGCCTTCGGTACTGTCCCAGCAGTGTCTCAGTTGGCTCTTTATAATGTTTTTGTCCCTCGAAATCCCCAGGGTTTCCAAATAGAAAGTTTCCCAGGGCGCATATATATGTGGCTAATCAGTAAATCAGCAGTTCTTACTATAGACTCAGCTCCTAATGCCACACCCCCAAGCACAAGTGGAGTCCCTAGTTGCACAAAGCACTCACATGCTTAATATGTTTTTTCCCTCTTTCCAAGACTGATAAACAGCTGTTCAGATACTTCAGTTAGGTTTTATTTCACAGAATTTTCATCCCTGATATCAAAGTATGTTGTTATTGGCAGGTAAATAGTAAAAAGCCCTTGGAAGTTATTAGCTGTTTTAAACAGCTTGTTTCTTCCTGGAATGATTCATGTGATTTCTACAGCCAGTGCCCAAGAACCTTTCCTTGCCTAGGGGTCACGTTGTCAAGTATTCTGTCTATACTTGTTCTTTTGAAAATTATTATTATAAGATAATTTTATCTAAGAATAAATGGGTTCAAATGTTTCTTCTCAGGATCCAAAGAACCATTTAGTCTTCCATAGTTTAAACCAACATTCAGGAACTGTTAAAAAAGATTTCCATGGGCTAGAGAGATGACTCAGGGGTTAAGAGCACTGGTTGCTCTTTCAGAGGACCAAGTTTGGAACCCCAGTACCCCCAGGGTGGCTAACAATCATCCATAACTCCAGTTCTAGGGGATCCAATGCCCTCTTTTGGCCTCCATGGGCATTGCATGACATGGGTGCACTTACGTACATGCAGGCAAAACATTCACACACAAAATAAATAAATAAATAAATTTTTAAAAATTTCCAGCTGCCACTAGATAAAAATGATGATATTTAAATGTCTTTTTCATAGAGATAGTTGCCACTTGATCATTTATAGAATTCTGTGTTTAATTCCAAACTACTGTTTTCAAATGTCTACTAGCATTATCTTGTAATAACTCTCCCAGTCAAAATGGCCAATTCATTTCCTCAAACACTCTTCATCATGCCATTGTGCCACATTCTTCTTCTCATTGTCTACTTCAATCTTGGCCACTCTTCAAAATCCAGATCAGATTTCTCTTTACATATCAATGGTATACCCCTCATCTCAGTTCTCTTATGTGTTCTATCTAGCACATATTTTCTGTATGTTTTTATGGTTTTGACTTGTGATGGTATCAAGAAGGTTTCAATTGCAAAAATAGCACCAATGAAAACTACAAATGGTACTATGCGCCAGATTGTGGTTGGTGTTACATCAATTAGGTTTAATTTTGAAAATGTCCAAAAGTAGTTCCAGCAAAGAAAAGCCAGTGTATTTGAAAAAGTGACAGGTTCTTTGGATGGCTCACTGTTCATTAAAAATATGTTGTTGGGTAAGTAAAATCAGGGCAATGAGCAGTATTGTTTGAGGGTCTGTGGGAGACCTGGTCAACAGCTTCAAGAAAAGGAGTCCGTTTCCTGATCTTGATCACTGACCAGAACTTTACAGTAAGACCTTGTTGCCAAAGACACTGCCTATATGAGCTGCAGAACAAATAAGAAGAAATCAAGCTGGTACTAACTTTCAAAGCCTCATATTTACTGGAACCTGAAGCTATATGGGTCACAGGGTGTACAGGAAAGCCTAAAACTACTTTTCTGTAAGTAACTATAGTATTAAACTGACTTCTAATGACTTACTGTAATACCAATAGATTTATTCATCTCTCAACTCTCATCAGAGAAACTTCCTTATGCAGCAGATGGTAATTAACACAGAAACCCACAACTGGCCAACATACAGAGAACAAGAGGCTGAAGGGTGCATATCTCTGAATTGGACACCTGTATCAAACTTTGCACCCCCCCACCCAAGGCTTAGGGCTCATTGTTGAAGAGGGGGTAGAAAGATGGTAAGAGCCAGAGGTGGTAGATGACCACAAAGAAGCAGAGTTTTTCAGACAGTTGGTCAGTTGCTCATATGCATTCACAGCAATGGTGGCAGCATGCACAAGTCCCAGGTAAGCTCCAACTAGACAAAATCTCAGCATGGATGTGGGGAAGTGGGTAAGAAACTCCAACCCTACCTGAGGTACCTGAGGACCTATTGGCCACTGATGGCTGCTGGAAGGGGAAAAGTCAGTCTCTTTCAATCATGTGACTTTTGGTAGGTTAACCAGGCTCCATTGGATGTACCTATACTGAAAAACATTTTGGGACACAAATTATTAGACTCTTTGCTGTATTATGTATAATAGAGTACATTAAATTGGGTGGGGGCTACATGGGGAGGTATGGATAGGGGAGGGGATCTAAATACCATCAAAATATACTGCATGAAAATTAAAAAAATTCTATTAAGAGCTCCCTCCCCACACTGTCCCTTTTCCAGCCTTGAGTCTAGGACCACTCCTGCTCTTCCTGCCTGAGGCCTCTGATCTAGCCTTCTAACTGAGACCCTGCCCCACTACATCCTAATCCCCTGAACCCAGACTAGTTGTATTCTCCAGTTTCAGGGCTCACACCTATTCTGTCTAGCTAGTCAGACCCTCCCCAGGCTGTCGCTATCCTTGCTTTGCCTCTAGCCACCCCCCAATCTTCATGCCTGAGACTTGTACATTACCCTGGTAAGTCAGATCCTGTCCACTGTGACTTGATTCCCCTGCACTATAACCATTTACATTCTCTCTCCCGTAGCTATCCCATCTCCAATCTTTGTCCTAGGTCCACTCCTGCTCTTTCTACCTCAGGCCTCTAGACTAGCCCCCTAACCTAGCCCCTGCCCACTATGTCCTGATCCCCCTGAACACAGACCAGCTACATTTTTCTGCTTCAGAGCCCACACCTACTCTACTTAGCTAGTTAGACCCTCCCTACACTGTTCCCACCCCAGTCTTGGCCCCATGACCCCTCCTGATCTTCCTGCCTTAGACCTCTTAACTAACCTGTCAAAACCCAGCCACTGGATCCCAATTGCCTTGAATTCCCTTCACCCAGCCAGTGAGTACTTCACTACTCAGCTTAGACCTATCCTGTCCCACCAGTAAAAGAAATCAAAAGTGGGACCTGAAGCACATATCAACTAACTGTTCATACCTGAGCAGAAATCAACCAAGCTACACCAATAATATAAACAGAACCAAAATTCAACTGCTGGGGGTTTGAACTCACAACCCCTGGCAAGGTGAGGATTGGGGATGAGTAAGCACGCCGCCCTCATTACTCGGGGACACTCAGATGCAATGGAGAGTCTTAGGCAGAGACTCATTTATTGCAAGTGTTCCAAAGCTTATAAAGGCAACTGGAACTCCCCCCCCCCGAGGGTGTATCTTAAGGGTGGTCACACGCTGATCATGCACTCCTCAGCAGTGCAGAAATATTCTTCAGACTTTCAAAGCAAGCCAGGCCGCACCCCCAGTAACTTCCTTTCAGATGTATGCAAGGTGGGGCTTTTAGGTCCCCACATCAACTAAAGAGAGGCAGACTAGAATTTCATATCAGTCACACAACCAAAAAAAGAAACCCATATACTCAAATGACAATGCAAAAACACAGTATTATGAAAAACCAAGAGAATATGCCCCCCTAATCCACCAGTTCTACAGATGTGTACTACAGTGAGAATCACCCAGAGGAACCCCAGGACACAGAATTTAAAAGAACAATCATAAACATGATCAAAGAATTTAAAGAACATACAAACTACTCAAAAACTAAAAGAGGATAGGAATAAACTCTTGACTGGAGCTCAGAAAATACAAAGATATGGCTGAATGAAATGACAAAAACAATTCTGGACTTGAAAAGTGAATTCACAAAAGAGACACATTGAAGAAAATCCAAGCCAAAATGAAGATGGGATTGAAAATTTCAATAAGTAAATTTGATACAACAGGAGAAAGCCTCATAAGAAAAATGAATGAAATGGAAAACATAATATCAAGACTGGATGATAAAGTTGAAGAACTGGACCATTCAAGCAAAGAATATAATAAACTTTTTAAAAACCCACAGGACTGGAATATGCAAGAATGTGGGACACCATGAAAAAGTCAAACTGACACAACATAGGCATAGATGAAGGAAAATAATCTCAGGTCAATGGTATTGACCAAATCTTCAAAAAGATTATAGAAGAAAACTATCAGTAATTAAAGATTATAGAAGAAAACTATCATAAATTAAGAAAAGACATAGCTATACAGATACAAGAAGCACAGAGAATACCAATTAAGATAGGACTGGAACAGAAACTCCCCACAGCATATCATAGTAAAATTACTAAACTATAGAACAATGAGAGTATACTGAAAGCTGCTAGAGAAAAACAAGTTACCTATAATGGAAAACTAGTCAGAATTGCAGTTGAGTTTTTTTGGTCTTTTTTTTGAGACAGGGTCTCCTTGTAGCCTCAGCTGTCCTGGAACTCACTATGTAGAACAGGCTGGCCTCGAACTCACAGAGATCCGCCTGCCTCTGCCTCCCAAGTGCTGGGATTAAAGGCATGCACCACCATACCCGGCTGAAGTTGACTTTTTATTGCAAACTATGAAAGTCCAATAAGATTGAACCAAAGTATTCCTGTTTCTAAATGACCATACGTGCCAATCCGGAATGTAACCCAGCAAAACTATCTATCATAGTTGAAGGAGAAAGAAAAATTTCCATGACACAAATGGAATGAAAGAATTCACGTCCACCAAATCAACGCCACAGAGAATAATTGAAGCAATACAAAAGTCTGAAGATTGCAATGACTGCACCTAAGAGGCAACAGAAAGATAGCAAATGAAGTTGTAATTATGGAAAAACAAGCTAGAACCAAGAACACAAACAGAAATTGAAATGATAGTAACCAATAAACATCATATATATATATATATATATATATATATATATATATGGATGTATAATATGCTGTGTTTTTAAAATTGTTATGCCTGGTATTTTGTTCCAGTAATGGGACCCTGACCAACACAATGACCAAATGTTTCATTTACATCTAAACCTGC